AGGAAATTCCACCTTCTGGTGTTCATATCTGCAACAGTTACAAACACTGTCATAAGTCTCTTTTTTCAAAAGACTGAATTCTCTGTAAAAGTGTGGCTATCACCCAGATCCTCTGCATTTCAGAACTGCTTTAAACGAATTCTTACCTTGTCCAGCAATCAATTCCCCCGTTTGCTTTCACATTAAGCAGTTTGAGGGAGACTTAAAAGTATGAGTAGACATCTAGAAGTGGTGGTATCACCAGGGCAAGCCAAGGTCAGCTCCCCTAATGAACCACCATTATGAACACACCTGCCCAAGGATTTTGGGAATCACTTTCTCTTCACTGCAAGAAGGGATGAAGAACTTGGGTGAAGGTTCCTATTTGTTAACCAACAAACCCTGACTTTAGCCAGTGACATGATCACTTTCAATTGTACCTCTGTATCCTACAGACAATGTGGTCTGGGTACAGAGGAAATTTATCAATTCATCAATACCCAAAATGTAACACGAATGCCAGACTTGTCTGGCAGGTTTATCCCGGGGTAGCACTTGCCTACAACTTCCAGGGAAGGCAGCTGGATTTGGTCAGTTGAAGACACAATGAGCCACGTGGGATCCTGCCCAAAGAACAAGAGCTCCCGGATTTGTTCCCCATGCTGTCACTGACCTGCTGTGACACTGCACAGGTCACCTCATCACTCTGTGCCTCATTTCCCATATTACAAGTAGGAAAAAATGAATAACAACATAAAAAGCGCTCTACAGTTCCACTTGCCTCAAAAACATCAGTAAAGCTGCTGGTAAACTCAATCTGCTCAGGCAGTTGCAGCCATTATACACCACAGTAAAGCAGGAGAAAAATGAGAATGTCCAACTGCATCTGATAATAAAGATAAGAACTTATACATTGTCTCTGTACTGCTGGCAAATTACCAGCTCTATTTCAGCTAAAAACCAGGACAATATCCCACTTCAACAGTAAATGTAATCATGCTGATTCCTGAAATATGGCCTTGGCTAACAGGCCCAAAAGAGGACGTGTTCTGGCAGGACACAGATACAGCACTATACCAGAACTACAGGAGTTCTTAAAATCTTCACCAAACCACATCCTCTCATGCTCTTTCAGAGGGACGTACTCGCACAATCTCTCTCCTTTGAAGCATTCACAGCACTCCAAGAGCAGCCCCAACAACTTTATTAGAATAAAGCAGAAACATCCAGAGACTCACCATAATATCTGGAATCCATCTGTTTGAACACTCCAATCACTTCCGCAGAATACCCAATATCAACCTCAAACCGCATGCGAGATATCAGCACGCACTTCCCTTTGACAAGGGCTGAGGGCTTCTTCCAGCTCTTACACATCTTCAAGAGGGATTTCACATCAACCCTATTGCCAACAAAATGAGAGCCTGATGCCAAGCCAACTGCATTTTCTCCTTCCAGTGGTGCCAGAATTACTGACGAAAGTTGATTTGCTGCTTCCACTAGGGAGAAAAGCGTAAGATACAGAGAAAAGAATTAATAACAATGAACACAGATAAACTAAAGATGCACTGGATGCTTTGGGAAGAGAAGAGGCAAGAGGATGACAAACAAACCATGCAGCATCGAGTTTAAAAGCAATGATGATTCCCTGCTTTCACTCACAGGAACAAAGAATAGAGAGTGATGGTCAGGAAGAGCAGGTTGGTGGGATTTTCCACAGAGAATACAGCAGGGGCAGAGGGAACATGTGACAGTAGGTGAACAAGGGCCTGTCCAACATTGTCACCGCACTGGGTTCCCTCTGTCAGCAACCCCAAAACATGGCTCACTAGGCCAGGGCAAGCAATCTGCAAAACCACATTCAGCAGTAAACTGCACACAGCCATACAGCATTTTCACGTACAAAGTTATGGGGACAGGGGCATGGTGACCAATAGTATGTGTCTGAAAAGATGAGAAGGTGCTTCTGCAAACAGCAAAGGAGAAAGATCTAAAAATATCTGCCTCCTGCCTCACGTCAATGCCTGATATGCAATCTCATCTACGAGGAATGCTGCATATTCACAATACGTAGGAAGGATATCAGGAAGGAATCTAGTCCAAATCCCTAAACCTCCTTTGTTACAGTTTAAATCCATTGTTCTTTATTCTACAGTGTCTTACAGTTAGACTTGTACTTCACCCCAGCCATCTGCACCCTACCTTATAAATCACTAGCAACCACCTCTGTCATGATGCCAGGTCACAGGGAGAGAAGGGACACAGTATTTTACAGCTGTTAGCCTGAAACCACAGCTATCCACACTAATAAACGTTCCACTTTTCCCCATGTCTCTGTACCAATCTATACCCATATGTTGTCTTTATTACTATAGCTGAACTGTGATAGTTAGGTAACAAGAACCATTTTTTCTTGTATTTTTACATCACCAAAATAGTGAAGTTCATCCCCAAGACTCCAACTCAGTAACACAAACATGCATGAACATCATCTCCAGAGTCCATTAGACTCAAAAGCAGGGGATCACTAAGCACATTCTGCCTCCATTTATTTGTAGAGAGAGGTAACATCCCCTACTCAGTAGCTGTTTAGAGTAACTCCAGATGAATCCAGCCCTCTGAGCACTGAGCTGCACATCATGATCCACTCTGCTTCTTTTTGAACAGAAATGCTTACCGATATGCAACAAAAACATACACAACTTAAGTTCCGCAGTTAAAGATTTGAAAAGGGAGGGAAAGAAAGAAATTCAGACACTTTCTTCCTAACCAGTTAATAAATAGACCATTTGGATTTCATCCAACTCTATTTTAAAACAAGTGACTTTCAGGATAAACCCAAGCATTTGAGGTTTCTACTCCAAAGAAAAAGTTTAAGAGCATCAAATGACAGTAATTTTTAAAGTAGAGAACTAAGAAATCACCAGTTTAGACTTTCTTCTCCCAATGTACAAAGCAAAAGCTTTTAGATGCTATGTTTTAGCACTGTAAGTTAGATCTCACCTCCACAACTAATAGTGAAAGAAGCTGGAAGAAAAACATATTTTACTCTTATTCAACATCTATTTCTAGGCCTGAATGCATGATTAATCTATAGTACAAAGAAAGAAATGTAATACAGGACAACATTATTCAGAAGAACAAAATTAACAGTGGGAAGTTTCAAAATAATTGTTTTTACACTTACAAGACTTCAAACCAAGGCCCTTTTAAGTCATCACGCTTTTCTCAGGGTGTTTTTTTTCCCCTGCTATCGCTGTCCAATGTTGATCACATATTGTCTTCACTTGTTAACAGGAACTTTCCACAGAGAACTCACATATTTGATAGCTTTAAGGAAAAAAGGCCTGATTTCTAAAAACCATCCGCTTCATTTGCAAGCTCCTTGGAGCAGAGACTCTGCTCTCTTCTGTACTTGATACACTTCAAGCAAACCAGTAGCATTTAAATTATAAATGTGTGGCAACCCACATGGGAAGCTAAAATACCAGCACTCAACTGTGGGTTTTTCAAAGTGCTCAACACAGGCCTAATTCTGTTCCCACTGAAATCAATAGTGATTTATCACTCACTTCAATACAATGTGCTTTTGAAAAGCTTACCTGACGTGTTTGCCTCTATCATCTCTCAATCTTTCCAGAACAAAATGACAGGAGGGAAAAAAAAAAAAGATAAAACCATCTTTGTTATATGCCAAAAAAAGGCAAATCCATTTTCAGTCTCACTCAAAGCCCTAGAGAATTACCCTTTTTCCTTTTCTGACACCCAATATCAAGAGGAAAAAAATGTAAAAATAAAAAACCCAAACTGTTTAAAAGAAAAAAAATACATGAACGGGTCTAGAAATTAAGCATTGGCCAGTGGAACACACGCAGTTCTCAATACACATTCATATGAAGTACCTGCACAGCAAGTATTTTTCCTATAAGGCTTGTTGGTTGCTGAAAATGTCAACAATTTTCAGAAAAAGTTAAACCTATGCTTTAGATTATGTAAAAAATTAAGTTATTTCTAATTAACTACAAAGTGTCAGAAAAATGTTATGAGCTAGGTGCCTAAAACATGGGTGTTATGTTTGAGTAGCACTACTTTCATTACTCCAGACAATAACAAAACTAAATAATAATTATGGAAGGCAGGGGAAGGGGGTTAAAATTTGGATTCTTTTTTATCACTCAACAACCCATTTACTTACTGAAGTTCCTGTAATCTTGCAGGCTGAAATTCCATTTTTTCATAGCAGGATCTAAAATAGGACAGAATATGAATCATTTGAGGTAGAAAAAAAGCATTGTGAAATGTTCATGCAAGGTAAGAAAGAACTCAGTCTACTCATGCAAACTTTTCAACACACATCTGAAAAAACAGTATGCCAAAGTTCATAGTTACATGACACCAAAAAAGCCATAGGGCACTAAGACAAGAAGAATGCAGCAGCCACAACACGTGGGGGGAAAACAAAAGTAGAATATAACAAATCAAGGCATGGATAAAAGATGAGGAGCAAGGCAATAGGTGGAGACTCCACTGCTCTCAGTAACCCAGTTAACAGAATCAGCTCATCAACTCTGAACTACAGCTGAAGTGACCCATTTCCCCATACCAATTTATGAATAACTTCTCTTCCTTCACTCCCAAAAGACTCTGACCAGCCGCCACCATCAAACTTCTTAGAGCACTGTTGATAAAGCAAGGCTTCTGATTTCTTGGCTAAATCCAAGCTCACACTATTTATGCCCAGAATTTCTTTCTAATTTCATCTCTTTACTTTTGCAATCCCCCATTAATACCACGTACTCCACCCCAGCAACAGCTGCACTGCCAAGAGCATATAGCAACTACAGTTCCTGCAGACACCAAAACTTGGATCCAACGTGAAACAGAGGTAACAGCAAACAATCAATTCTTACCATAGCTTTTGCTTGGCATCTTCTTAAACACAGCAATGAGTTCAGCATTATACCCTATTTCGACCTGGAATCGGTCTTCCCCATATTTCACACATTTTCCTGTTGTAACACTACTCGTTTTCTTCCAAGAGGCAGCTTCAGAAGCAGAGCCTGCACCAGCAGAGCTAGTCAGCTTCTGTATCCTACCACTGGCCTGAGAGGCACCAGCTCCCCCCTCTCTTGCTGTCGGTCTGCTTGTGTTTATCAGCATTTCTGAATCACTCGGGGCAGCACTGCTTGGTGGTGAAACACATTTTATGGCAGATTTCTTCTGGCTTTGTAAATCTTTACTACCGTCAGGGTGCCCGTTACCAATTAATCTAGGATGAGATGGTTCTGTAGGGTTTTTGAAAGCTGGGTAGCATTTGGGCTGCTGGAATGTACCAGGATTAATTAAAGCTTGTTGTCCGTGTTCCTGACCACCAGCATCCAAGTAATGTTTATGGGAATAACTCAGAGAATTTGGGATCGTTGTAGGGAACTGCTTAATGCCACTTGCTTGTTCCGAGTCCTCTGAACAATTCTTTTGTTGCTCTCCATGTGAACCAGCCATCTGTTGGTTTGCAGTGTAATGATTATAATCTTTCTGAAGATAGCTCCTCTGCTCCACAGGACTGTTTGGATTCTGTTGGTGCTGGCTAATGAACCCAACATGATTGTTTTCTTCCTTCAAGTTTCCCCAATTGCCTGGACTCTGTTCTTTCACCCGAGGTCCAGTGATCCCCACCTGCCCACCTCTCTGGGCTGCTAGCCTCTCTGCTCTCCGAGCCAAAGCCTTCTGGCGGTTCTCTTCAATTCTTCTCTTTTGGTCCTCTGTAAGGCCTGATGACATCTTCAACAATTCAAACAATGAAATTGAATCAAAACTGCATCAGGAATTAATCACAGAGGCACCTGCTTCTTCACAGGAATGGAGGCCAGTCTACGAAAAAAAAAAAAAAAATGGGGGGGGGCAAAAAACCCCAGGAAGTTTCAACTCTGTTACCCCCAAAGTGACTCCACCCTGAGCAGCCTGTTCCAATATTTGACAACTCTCAGTGAAAAATTGTTTCCTAATATCCAACCTAAACCTCCCCTGGTGCAACTCAAGGCCATTCCCTCTTGTCCTTGGGAAGAGACTGACCCCCACTCGCTACAACCTCCTTTCAGGTGGTTGTAGAGAGCAATAAGGTCTCCCCTCAGCCTCCTTTTCTCCAGGCTAAACAATCCCAGTTCCCTCAGCCACTTTTCATAAGACTAGAAGGCTCTAGACCCTTCACCAGCTTCGTTACTGTTCTTTGCACATTCTCCAGCATCTCAATGTCTGTCTTGTAGCAAGGAGCCCAAAACTGAACACAGTACTCGAGGTGCGGCCTCATCAGTGTAGAATACAGCGGGATAATCACTTCCCTACTCCTGCTGGCCACACTGTTTCTGATACAGGCCAGGATGCTACTGGCCTTCTTGGCCACCTGGGCACTCTGCTGGCTCATGTTCAGCCGCTATCGACCAGCACCCCCAGGTCCTTTTCTGCCAGGCAGCTTTCCAGCCACTCCTCCCCAAGCCTGTGGCACTGCATGGGGTTGTTGTGACCCAAGTAC